ATCTTAGCCTCTAAGAATAGAACAAGAAGCAATGGGCTTAAACTGCAGCAAGGGAGATTTAGGTTGGACATTAGGAAAAAGTTCCTAACTGTCAGGGTGGTTAAACACTGGAATAAATTGCCTAGGGAGGTTGTGGAATCTCCATCTCTGGAGATATTTAAGAGTAGGTTAGATAAATGTCTATCAGGGATGGTCTAGACAGTATTTGGTCCTGTCATGAGGGCAGGGAACTGGACTCGATGACCTCTCAAGGTCCCTTCCAGTCCTAGAATCTATGAATCTATGTCCTTGCATGCCTGTTCACCACAACGGCGCGAGATAACTGCCCAATGACCACAGGATCTGTTAAGGTACGAAGGTGCCACGCCATGTTTATTGTTGACAAAGCATGGTAATAGCACTTGGCAGACTCTATGAGGATATTGAAACAATGGATGCAGCTCAGTGAATGGTGGGACTTTTAATTCCCCCCTCGGCTGGCCAAAGACACTCCCTCTGAGATATCGTTTTATACTCCGATACAGACAAGTTACGTACTGCCTCTGATGTATCAGGGTGCCACCCTCTGATGTATTAGGGTGACACTCATTGCCTTGTACTTGTTGGTTAGATCAAAACATCTCTATCCATCATGCTGTCATCCTGACCTTATCTTTAGGATGGGTCAGTGGGTTCCTGTTATCTTTGGGGAATGTGCTGGTATCGGGGTGTTCTGGTCCCATCCTTCTGGAATGCGTTTGCATGTATATTTCTTATACCTAGCACTACTTAGGAATGTGTGGTTCTGCAATATCAGCCCTGTTCTTGCCAGATTCTGTGAGCAGGGCCTGTCTCTTGCTCACAAGTTAACTTTGCTTTATGGTAGCAAAGTTTTGACCACTACTTTAGTTCAGACCTCATACCAGGCCTCTGATACAAGGGCTTATGTCTCAGGCTCTCTTCTTATTGTGGTTTCAGTCCTCTGGACTACCTGCAGAAATCCAACAGACCATACAGGACCTTTCACTTGTAGGCCCTTCTCTGAAGTCCCTTGGAATCTACACTCCAGCAACTAAAAGAAAACATTTTTGTCAACAACAGCCTTTCCAGTCAAGGAAAAAGGGAAGGAGCTGTACAAGGCACCCTCCACTTCCTTCCGCTTCAGCATCAATGAGCTCATCCCATCAAGACGCCTCTTCCAAGCGGGCATTTTGTTGGGGTTGTTGAGGGCAATATACCAGTCTCCTCACTTCCATCGGGTCCTCCTTTTTTATTTACCAGTTGTTTGTCCTTCTTGCTAAGTGCCTGGATCCATAGAACATTAGACCAGTGGGTCTTAAGCACAGTGGAACAGAGGTATGCCATCCAATTTACTTCTCCCCCCTTCTCCCCGTCCCTCTTCAGGGACCATTCTCACGAGATGGCCCTTCAGCGGGAGGTCCAGTTTCTTCTTTAGAAAGGGGCCATAGAGGAAGTACCATTGGACCTTGGGGGAAAAGGCTTCTATTTCTGTTACTTCCCGATCCTCAAGACAAAAGGAGGTCTCAGGCCCATATAAGATCTAACAGAGTTGAACAAATTCCGGAAGAAAATAAAATTTTGCATGGTTACCCTAGCCTCAATTATCCCTTCCCTGGAACAAGGAGACTTCTACACTTTTAACAGTGAACACTCAAGGGAGTCCAGGAGTGGAATAGCAGTGGGTGCTGTGGCTCAGGGTTGAGGGCTATTGGCAGAGCTAACAGAGAGAGGGGTCTGACTCAAATTCTCCTGGTTTTGTGGCCCATATCTTTCCCCACCCCACAGCCTCTCCTCAGTGCTCATTTGTAATATTTAATGCCCTGGGCTCGCTGTGATCCTGGTCATTTCCTCTGCACAGCAACAGCCCCATGACTGTTTAGTGCCTGTTTGTGAGACTCTGAATTGCTTCTGCACTCCAGGGGCCTTTGGGGGTAATAGTTAAGGATCTTCAGCTGCCAGACTGGTGTCTGCTCA